GTGTGATTCTTATTTTAAAAATTTAAAACTGTGAATCTTGCAGATGATTTGTGAAAGATGAAATCCGAACAGCTCGACCGTTACAGCTTTTTTTTAGCTCTACATCTGCAAATGTTTCTCTGAATACTCATCATTTAGCTGAATTTTGGAACTAAACTGTCCCAAGAATGTGTTGTTTAACTGTGAACACATGAAGCACAATAGTTTTGTGAAAATAAAAGTGTTTTTAAAGCATCCAACATAAACTTAAAGACATAATCACGAGACTTCAGATAGCAAGTCTTTGATTAAGATGGAGAATAACATTTAAACATTTCAAATAGACATCATTGGTATGAAGATTAATTATTAAAAACTAGAAAATCTCAGATGTTTGGAGAGTGGAAAGTAGGGTTAAAGGAACACATTAAAACATTTCTGCCTGTGATAAAAATAAAAGGAGTAACTGTTATGCGTTATGGTGCAGTGCCGGAGAGTCCAGCAGGGGGCGCCACATCCCCGCAGATCAGGATTAAATCCCCACTGAGCCTCGATCTGTGCCCACTCTGATTCACCTCTCCATCCCAGAGAAAGAGGAAAACAAATCACAATTACATCAAACACGTTACGCTTTGATCCTGAATCCATTATCCGACGGCAGACAAAAGGATCCTCTGACAGACGGGTTCTGCCGGCCTGTTCGGGGAAAAGAGAAACTAAAGATTAATTATGTTTTCCAGCTGTTGTGTTGTTAATGACCGGTGGTGGGGCAGGTGTCTCCTGACCACACCTGTCTGTTTATACAAACAAATGATTAACACACTGCACAGACAGTAACCCAGGAATGTAACAGCAGAGAAATGATTTTTTTCCGTCATTTAAACTGTTAGAACTGACAGAAAAAAGGGATTTTCCACCCAATCAGAGGCCGATTACCTCCAGAACAAGATGAGTGACGTGTGGGATAAAATGCTTTATGGATGTGAATTATATCGGTTCAATAAAACAGGAAACCGTGGTGCGCTTTAGGGTTTTTAAATGTTAAACTCTTTAGTTATGACTCCATTTTCCTCTCCATCATAAATGCAGCTTGAATATTTACCTTTGATTTTATGCTCCCAAACTCCCAAAACATCCCTTCGTCTGTCTCCACCCGTCCGAAGACACAACCGCACACAGTCTCCCTCCAAAGGTAAAATCGGGGTTATCGTTTTATCTAACGTCCCTGTTTCTTGACAGTGAGAGGAAGCTGGGCCACAGAAAAGCCACGACTGGGATGGGAATCTCCTTTCTCTGACGTGATGAGGACTATGGAAACATTTGTTGTGTATTAGAAATACATACTGTAGAAGAAAAATAGTTGGATATGTTGATTAAACCGGGGTAAAATAGCAGTTGAACCCTGAAATACTCCATAAAAAATAAATGTAGACTATTATAACCAAAGGCCTGAGGAATGTAACCAGGAATAACTATCGCTAGTCTCTCAAATACAGTTGCTTACTGTTGTTTTACTCGATATTATGTCACGAGAATGTGTGTAATAGGATATATTTCCTGTTTCTATGGCTTAAAAAACTATTGTACATTTTAAATTTGCTGTATTGAATTTTAAAAAAGCCTTAAAGCTAATTTTTAAAAGCCTTAAGCTCCAGCCTAGCCGGTTTAAATCAATGCAGAAGCAAGGAAACGTATAAACGCTGTTCTGGGTTCAGAGTTCAGGCACTTTGTGCCAAACCCTTTTAGAAAATAACTCGACAGCTCAAACGTGATAAAAAAAAAAAAAAGCTTTGGTCCATCGACATCTACAGCCAAAGTTCAGTCGGAGGACAGAGGCGAGTGACCTTTGACCCCTCAGGAGGCTCCGCCTGAGGAAAATGAAATCTGGTTTTCAGCAACAATGGACGCAGATTCTTCTGGAAAACGCTGCAAGAATTGGCTTTCTCAGTTCTCAAATCATTAAAAATGGGAATTATAAGGGATTTTTGGCGTAACACGGAGCTAAATGTGACCTTTTACTGCGCTGATGATTCAAAGTTTCTTTAAAATTTTGTAAAAAACAATAAAATAGGTGATCAGAGAAACAGTTTCTCCCACCAGGATTAACTCCAAACACAAAGGGTGAAGTCACACCGACACACAGCAGCTCCGAACAACCTAAAAATGATCAGATCTGAGTTTGTTACCAGACACTGAGGATGAGTTTACACAAAGATAAACAACACAACACATTCAGAGATGTTAACCAGCAAAAAAATGCGACACAAACATTCACTTCTGCAAAAGGTCCATTTAAAAAATGGATTGTGATCACAATGTAACACACACAAGTCGTTTATCACAACACAATTTATCGGTATGACAGCAACAAAAATATGCAAAAAATTTTTAAAAAGAAGATAATCACAAAGGCTAAATCTGACAGCAGGGTGCAGAAAATGAATGATACAAAACACAAAACAGCAACAACAAAAAAAGACAAAAATTGCCAGACAGAGACTTCAAAATGATTTTAAAGAAACCAAATGACAACAAAACAATCTTAAACGGGGAGAAAAAAAAAATCAGGAAAACACAAACACATAAACATACAAACCCCTAAAAAGATATTACGGATGCTGAGAATAAAAAACACACACACACACACACACACACACACACACA